ACTAAGTGTCCATTGATGGATGATGGATAAACACAACGTGTCCACCCAGACAATGGATTATTCTTCAGCCTCAAAAAAGAATTCTGACCCAGTGTACCACGTGGATGGAGCCCGAGGACATGATGCTCAGCGACATGAGCCAGACACAGAAGGACAGACCCTGTGTGATCCCCTCACAGGAGGCCCCTAGAGAAGAAGCTTCCACTTTTTAATGATTTCACGATTCTTATACGAAACGTCCAGAATAGGTAAACCTCTAGGCAGAGAACAGATGAGCGGTGGTCAGGGGCTGGGGGGAGAAGGGGATGGGAGTAACTACGAATGGGGATGGGGTTTCCATTTGGGGTGATGGAAAAGTTCTGGAATTAGATGGTGACAGTGGTTGCACAGTGTGAATGTACTTAATGCCACTGAACTGTACACCTCGAAATGGTTAGAACAGTATATTTTTATGTTGTGTGTGTTTTACCACAATTTTAAAAAAGGAACGAAGCATTGACACATAGTACAACACGGATGAACCTCAAACACGTTACACAGAGTGAAAAAAGCCAGACACAAAAGGGTCTCATACCACACGTTTCCGTTTATATGAAAAAAACAAAACAGGCAAATCCACAGAGACAGAAACTAGACGAGTGGGTGCCGAGGAGCAGGGAGGATGGAGGGTGACTGCTAATGGGGCCTCTTTTGGGGGAGATGAAAAATGTCCTAAAACTGCATAGAGATAATGGCTGCATAATTTGGTAGCTTACTAAAAGTCATCGAGTAGTACCCTTCGTAAGGGTGCATTTTATGGTATGTGAAAGATACCTCAATAAAGTTGTTTATTAAAAGGGGCCTTTAGGGGCCAGCCTGGTGGTGCAGCGGTTAAGTGCGCGTGCTCCATTTGGCGGCCCGGGGTTTGCAGGTTCACATCCCGGGCGCACACCCATGGCTTGTCAAGCCATGCTGTGGCGGCGTCCCATATAAAGTGGAGGAAGATGGGCACAGATGTTAGCCCAGGGCCAGTCTTCCTCAGCAAATAGAGGAGGATTGGCCTTGCATGTTAGCTCAGGGCTGATCTTGCTCACATAAAAAAGGGGGGGGGGCTTTATTTAAATTAGGGAGGCGGACGCAGAATAGGGACTGAGTTCCTAGAAGAAGGGCCCTAAGAGAACCTCCAGAGACAGTGAAGATTCGGCTGCGGGGAGCCACACAATTTTTTTCTACTTTTGGTGAGGAAGATTGGCCCTAAGCTAACATCCGTGCCCATCTTCCTCTATTTTATATGGGACGTCGCCACAGCATGCTTGATAAGTGGTGGGTCTGTCCGGACCTGGGATCCGAACCCTCGAACCCCGGGCCGCTGAAGCGGAGCGTGCACACTTAACCCCTGCGCCACGGGGCCGGCCCCCGGGCAGTTTCAAACAGCGCTGTGCCCTGAGCAAGAGCCTTTGGGACTCTCAGCCCCCCGGCCCCACCTGTTAGGGGTTTCTAGGATGACTCTCCCCCACCCTCGCAGACTGGACCCACACGTGCTGCCAGCAGCCTCCTGCCACAGTGTGGGCGGCCTCACCCCACAGAACCCAAACCTCCCTCACCTGCTGTGCCGGCTCCTCCGCTGTCACCTGGCCGCGGGCACTGGCTTCTGTCTCGTCGGCGGACATTTCTCAAAAACAGGCACTGTGGGTGGACGGACAGACGGACTAGTCAGGGCACAGCCTGCTCTGCCCCTCCGTCCAGGGGAAGTTCAGGTTCATATCTAACCTCTGAACGGCCCCCCTTTCTTTTTTTTTTTTTTTTTTAATTAATTTTTATTTATTTATTTGTTTTCCCCCCAAAGCTCCAGGAGATAGTTGTATGTCATAGTTGCACATCCTTCCAGTTGCTGTATGTGGGACGCGGCCTCAGCATGGCCGGAGAAGCGGTGCGTCAGTGCGCGCCCGGGATCCAAACCCAGGCCGCCAGCACCAGAGCGCACGCACCCAACCGCTAAGCCACGGGGCCGGCCCCTGAACGGCCCCCCTTTCTTAGAGCCCTACTTCTCAATCATTAACGTGCTCCTGTGGCCTGTTCTACGCAGGTGCTGAATCAGCGGGGCTGAGAGTCTGCGTTTCTAGAAAGATATTGCCTGATGCAGCTGATCCTGGGCCACACCTTGAGAGGCCAGGCCTGGGCACAGCCCTGCAAGGGCTCACCTGTACCAATACTTCCAGAAGATACCTACCGTGCCAAAACTCTGTGGATGGCAACTCGCCAAGTGCTACCAGGTTTCAAGAAGGATTTCCCCTTTCACCCTGAAACCTGACTGCAGGGACGGTCCCACACCTGCACTGCCAAGTAGGCAGAGGCGTGTGTCCCTGTGTCGGCCACAAGGCACTGGAAACAACCTATTTGTCCAGCAGAAGGGGACCAGAGAAAAATAACGGTGGTGGGAGCGCTCAGAAGTGGAAACTGACACATAATTGACACAGATCAAGCTATTGTTAAGACACAGACATTGTGAGTGGGGCAAGCTTTTGTTTGCATTTGCACAGAATCTTTAGAGACACAGCAAACTGTTAATAATGCGCACCTTGCAGTGGGGAAGATCAGGCAGCCAGGGCAGGCCTTGACTTCTGAGCCAAGTAGATGATATTACCTGTTCAAAACAAAGATAAGCTTTCAAAAGAAAAAAAAAGGTTAGAGAGGCCACGCGTGGCGCCACTGCAGACCAATCAGGTCAGACCCGGGCGTGGAGAGGGCAAGCGAGGCCCCCAGGGCAGTCTAATGCACACGTTTGCAAGCGAGATGGGAGCCACAGGTGTGCTCCATTTTCCTAGCCAGGTGTGACGAGATGGGTCGAGCGCGGCCAGACTCGATTCCAGGAGGCCCGGCTCTGCCCACGTGGTGCTATGTTGAGCAAGGGGCTTCCTCTCCCCTGGCCTCTGTCCTCTCGTCTATGAAACGGGGACGACCATTCCCAGCTCTGCGCATTGGAGGAGAGGCGACACATGCGGCGCTAGGCTCCCTCCCCAGCACACAGTAGGTGCTCAATAAACAGATCCACTTCACACCCCTCTGGCTGCCTTGGACAAATGGGTGAAGGCAGCCAGGAGGACCGTGCTTCCTGCTTGTTACAAAGGTCCCCCACTGGGAAGTGGTGCGAGGAGGGACCCGCCCCCGATGAGCATCAGCTGAGTCCTGGCCGTCCCTGGAGCCTCAGCTCACCTGGACGGCTTCCAGACTCTCCCTCCCAGCCCCTTGGCCCACCACCCCCTCCTGGAGCCGGTTTAACCAAGGGCCGCCGTTGGAGATGCCAGCACCCCATTAAAGTCCCTGGGGTCAGCCGCCTGCCTACAGCTGGCCCCACACAGCCGTCCAGCTGCAGCCAGGAAAGCTCCCAGAGACGAAGGTCCCAGGCCGGGCCCCTCCTCTCAGTCCCAAGGACCCAGCCCAGGGGCAGGCCGTCCCGGCGCCGCCGTGCGCCACCCACTGGGCACACCCACCCCGGGGCGGGGTTAGCCGCGACCTCCCCGGAGGCAGCTGCGGGGCCAGGGGCGGGGCCAGGGGAGGGGCCGAGCCCCCCCCGCGGGGGGGGACAACCGTCCACAGGGGCGGGGGCTTTGCTGGGCAGAAGGACTGGCCCCCGGTGAGATGGGGGGGCTCTGAGGACGCCCCCAGGGAGGGCGGGATTCCTGTGCAGGACAGGCGACCGCAGCGAGGACGCCAGAAGCGAGCCCACTTTTTAAATCTAGAGATGACGCGGTTTGGGACGGGGGATCTGCCCCCCCCAAAATACTGCCACTTTTAGGGGGTCTTTCGCTGCCCAGCCCCCGAGAGCCCCAGGCATTGAAAGGAGAGCGCGTGAAGGTCTCAGCCTGTTCCAGAAGTTGCATGTGGGGGAGTGGGCGGGGGAAGGGGTGCTGGGCCCGGGCTGGAGACCCCTCCCCAGGCCGCAGAGCCCCCGGGAACGCCCTCCCCGCCCCCTGCTCCCCCGGGGCGCCCCAGGACTCGGCGGACCCCGCCCCCATGTCAACCGGGCCCCCCCGCCTCTCACCGCGCTCAGCGGGCCGTCCGGGGCGCAGCGGCCACGACCCGCAGGCCAGGTCCCAAACCGTCGTGGGCAGCCCGGGGGCGGCCTTTATACTCGAGGGGGCGGGCGCCCAGGAGTGACGGGCCGGAGGACCAATCAGACTGCGGGGTGCCCGCCGCCAGGCCACGCCCCTCGCCCGGCCCGGGACGTTGGAGCCACAAGTGAAGTCCGGGGAGGGCGGGACGTGGGGGGCAGCGCGCGCCCCCCGCGCCGTGCGCCGGGTGGGGAGACCCCTGTAAGACGCCGGATCCAGCCAACGGCCCCCTTTGCCCACCTAGGGACCCTATGAGGTCGGCCCTGGGAGGTGAGTGAGATCCGGGTTCTGGGGTCCCCCAGACCCCCTTTCTCTAGCGGCCAAAAGGAGGCTGTGAGAACTCCAAGATTGCTGCCTGATGCCCCCAGCGCCCCCCACCGTGGGCGCGAGAGTGATGGACCCAAGCCCGACCCAGCATTCAACCACAGCAGTGAACAGATATTGAGCGCCTCTGTCTGCCCAGACCTGCATGGTGCCACTTAATCGTCCCAACGCTGTGTGCCCCTTTATCCTCCCCATTGTACAGATGAGAAAACTGAGGCCCAGAGACGGTCAGCCACGGGCAAGGCAGGGATCAACTCCTGGATCTTTGACTCCTGTATCTATCCATTCCTGAAGCAGCAACCCCACCTTGGATTTCTCACCCCCGCCCCCCCCGCAAAAAATATCCTTTCTTCTCCTGGTCTATAAACCAAAATCTCAAACTCAGATGGCCTCAGGGGCCAGGCAGGACACAAATGCCTCTGCTAAAGGGGTGGCAGCATACTCCACCTATAGGGGCAGAGCGTTGTTTTGTGGGAGACCCACCCAGGGATTCCCAGGTCCACGAGAATCCCAGACTGTAGAAGACTCCTGCCTCTTAGAAAAGTATTGGACCAAATAAAGCCCAACTGGGGCTGTATCCAGCCCCGGGGCCACCAGTGAGTCACCTCTGCTAAATTACGTGGGTTAGGGTGAGACTTCTGGAAGTTCCAGAAAGAACATGGAAAAAATTGAGTGTCTGTGACTAAGTGCACTTTTTTGAGCACCGCTGGGCGCTGGGGACACAGCAGTGAGTATAACACACCCCAGCCTTGTGGTGCTCACCTCCCAGTGGGAAGGAAGGACAATAAACAAGAGAAGTGAGTGAAATGCATAAAGGGTCCAGCCACTAGTGGTAAATGCTCCTGAGAAAAGGGAAGGACTGGGCTTATCGAGAAGGTGGGGCTGCGACTTTTATAGGGTGGTCAGAGGAGGCCTTTCTGAGGGCCATTTGAACACAGAAATGAGGGAGGGAAGAAGGGAGCCCAGTAGAGATCTGGGGAAGAGTGCTCCTGATGAAGGGAGCAGCATGTGCAAAGGTCCTGAGGCTGGACCGTGCCTGGTGAGGGGAGAGCTGGAGAGAAGGGGTTAGGGATGTGTAGAGCTCAGAGAGGAGAAGTGACTTGTCCAAGGTCACACAGCTGGAAGGTCACTGACAGATATGCCGGTAGCCTTCAGCTTCTGGGTGACCTTCAGTGTGGGGACATGGCTGAAGTATCCCTGGTCAAGGGGATGTAACCCAATTCCGATTTGGAAAATAAAGTCCTGGTGATTTTGCTCCACGTCTTCCAAACAAAAGGAGAGCAGCCAGGCTCCCCTTCTTCCCTGGTGTGGGGATCAGACCCCACCCCCAGTCCCCTGGGAGCGCAGTCGCGGGCATTTGCCACTGCGCATGTGCACATGTGGATGGGGGAGGGGAAGGAACCAGCCGCCACACTGCTCCCTCTCCAGCGCCACTGCCTCCTCCTCCTGGAAGCCTTCCGGCCTACCTCCCCAGGCAGAGGCCGCCAGATAAAATCCAGGACGCCCAGGTACATTTGAATTTCAGGTCGACCACAGAAGACATTTGGGGGCGTAAGTCTATCTCATGCAATATTTGGGATATACTCAAAAATTATTCACTGTTGAGCTGAAATTCAAGACAAGCTGGGCGTCCTTTTTATTTTGTTGTTTTTGCTCAATCTGACCACCCTACCCCCACATCCACGTCCCTTTCTCTGCCCCAGCCGTGTCCTCATGGAGACTCTGTCACCTCCCAGCCCTGGGGGGGGGGTGCCCTCGAGGGCGACACCTGGCCAGGAGCCCCCGGGCGGGAGGTGGGAAAGAGCTGCTATTTTCCCAGCCGTTTCATTACGTTATTCAGAGGTCCGAATTTGATTCTTACCCCATTTTCTGGATGAGGGAGCTGAGGCTCAGAGAGGCAGTGACATTGGCCCGGGGTCGCGCAGCCTGAAATGGGCTGCTGAGCGATTGGCCCCTGGGTGATCTGTCTTCAAGGTCTGTGTGTCTGAGATGGGATCCTCCCCTCCTCCCCCTCCCCCTCCCCTCCCCCCTCCCCC